TTGAATTAAATAAGATTGTCTTGCTGCAAATCCTAAGTTTGTAGCAATTGCTGCAGTCGTTGATGAATTTTTATACCATAATTGGTTCATACCTTGAACATTTTGAAAGTAATTAGGATATTTGAGCAATCCTAACATTGTAGTTGCTCTACCTAAATAATTATTATTTTCTACAGTTTGACCAGATAATTGATATTCTGCTCTAGTAAATAAGTACATAAGGCCATTGTTTATAAGTGTTACAGCATCTGCATTGGTATAAGATGTTCCATCTTCTTTTAGAAGTCTTCCTTCAATCAAAATATATGCTTGAGATGGAACTGTAAACAATTTTTCATCATGAATATCTAAACTAATTTCAGTACCAGGATTATCAAAATTTGTAATTTTAGGAGGATATTCATGGTATTCAAATACATCAATACTTTCATCAATTATTGGTTTTTCTGTAATATCTAATGTGTTTTAAGTTGCCATTTTTTTATTAACAAGATAATTTTTTTAAATCCTTTTCAAGAGTCTAAATTTTTTTAAATTTAAATAATATATCTGGATCCCGAAGAGATCTAATAATATATCTGACTAATCTTCGTATCTCTTCGTATCTCTTCAGATTTACACTATTCTAAGACCTTGACCTTTTTTAACTCTACTATCTTTTGCTAAATCTTGTATTCTTATTGCATTTGAAGTTTTCTTTTTCGATTTATTGTTACTAGATTTAAGATCTTTAGATCCAGACTTCGTAAATGCTGATCCCAACATAATTCTACTTAAATCTCTTTTTACTTCACTGTTTTTGACTTCATTAGATTCTTCAGATCCATAGGAACTAGATGGATTATTAGCTAAAGATTCAATTAAATTTAAAAGAATTTGTTTACTTTCAGGTGTGAGCTCTTTAGTTGATTTATTTGCTTTTTGTATTATTTGTTTTCCTTTATCTATTACGACGTCTTTAGCAGTAGATATTGCAGAAGTGGCAAGTTCTTTTCCTGCAGACTTTGCAGCATCTATTACAGTTTTTCCTAAATCACTAGCAGCTGCTCTGTTAGCTAAAGCTCTTGATGCTGTTAGTACATTCCTTAATGCTTGTCTCTGAAACATATTTCTTAAAAAACTAAATATTCCACTTCCACCAATAACATGTTTCTTAATATATCTTTAATTATTTATAATGAGCATTTTTATTTAGTAACTATTTTTTTAATTCATTATAACGATTCATGTTTCGCTAATCTTGATCTGAAATGGATCTACATAGATTTATCTATATTCCTAAATTACTGGTCAACATATTCTTCATAGCAGATAATGTTCTAACTAAATCTAAAGATTTTGCTCGATTATATGCATTACTAATATCATCAAATATTCCACTTCCACTAACATTAATCATTTTTTGCACCTCTTTATAATATTCAGAATCAATTATACCTTGACGTAACAACTCATCACAAATTGCAACAGCTTCATTTCTAGCTCCAGTATTACCTGCTTTTAACGCAGATATGCGTAATTGAAGCATTTTAACTAGTTCATCTGGATCACTAGGAAGAATTACTACTCCAGATTTTCCAGTTATTTCTTCCCAAATTAGTTTTATTATTTCTTTGTATTTATTACTTCTAGATGATATTGGCTTGATAAGCCAATATCATCTAGAAGTAATAAATATCATCTAAATCCCGATAGGATTTAGATTAGTACGAATTGCATCTGTTTGCTCTAAAACTTGTTTATCCGTTTTACGATCATCATTAGTATATTTAACAGGATGAGATTTTACTATTAACTCCCAAAGACCAGGAGTTTCAACATATTTTTTACTTTCAATAGTTATATCATTACCTTCAATTGTTATCGGTTTTTTACCAATGTAAAAGTTTTCATTATCTTAATTGTAATGTATATCAAATATAGTATCTAATACCTTTTTACTATTTTTAGCAGTATATAACTTTAGATATTCTTTTGCGATAGCTCCTAATATCATGTTATTTACAACTTCAGGTGGTATGATTGCTTTAGTTTTATGTATTACTTCAGGATTTAGCAAAGCTGGGGTTCTTTCAGAACTGGAAAAAGTATTTGCTAATTAATCATCTTTATTTTCTAATTTAAATAAGCCTTCTTTTATTCCAGGTTGGTTATCTTTTAGTGGTTTGTACAATTGTGTTAAGTCAATCTGTAAATCATCAGTGCCTTCTCTTTCATTCAAAGAATTCTGATATATATTTTTTCTTAATTCTATTACTTCTTTAATCATTTGATCTTTTTTATCAGGATCTGTAGTTTTTATAAATGGCATTTTATATATGCAATAATTCTTTTAAATTGTTTGCATAATCAAGAATAGCTAAATCTCTTTGATATCTATAATGTTTTACTTGAACATAATATATGTTTTAGTCGATCATAATATATGTTTTACTTGAACATATATTATGGTTTAATTAATATTTATTTTGCTAATATTTTGATTTTTATTAAAGTTATTCTCTAAGAATTCCATCGCCTCTTTCATAGCTTTCTCTTTACCTTGGTTGAATATCGATTGTTTAGTTTGTTCATCAATTTATTTTTTAGATTTTGTTCTAATTTCTGCAATCATTTTTTGAAACTTTTCATATTCTAAAAGTATCATTGTAAATTCTAGATCATCGATATTACCATCTTTTAAAGCTTTAGAAATATAGTCGCTTATAGTATTAAATTTTGCATCAGCTAATACTTTAATCTTTTCATGCTTTTCTGATTTTATATTTAATTTTTTAATTACTTGAGATCCTATTAATGACATTAAACCAATACCTAATGCTGCACCTTCACATGCAATAGCTACTGGTGTTCCAACTAATGTTGTTAAAAAACCAATACCAACAGCTCTAAGTGTCATAGTACTTGCTAGTAATGTATTATCAACAAGTAAAATTGTTCTTGAAGCTCTATGATACTTTTTACTTAACATAGCTCTTCTTTCTCTTTCACATTCTATTTTACTTTGAATTTCACTTATCTTATCTAATCGATATTGGTGATCTATAGATTGTGGTGGTGCAGTTGATATCGCTGATCTATAGATAGTGGAGGTGCAGTTGGGCTAAACTGGCTAAGATCTGGATAAATACTTTTACATTCTTCATTTTTACATTCTTTGTTATTATAGTCCCTATTATATTCCATTCTTTTTTTATAAAGAAAACATTTCTTTTAAATCACTATGTGATCAATGCTTCGCTAAATCGTTTAACGATCCTTGCTTCGCTAAATTTCTTTTATTTACCAAAATTAAATATAGATTTAGCGTAGTCAGGATCACTTTGTGATCTAACAGAGTCTTGATCACTTTGTGGTTCTTCTTTTGGTTTTACATTTTTAGCTTCGCTATATCCTGAAGGGATCAATGCTTCGCTAGATCTTTTGGATTTATAAGAATTAGATATATAATTAATTCTATTTATAATTCCGTTGTAAGATAAAATTTCCTTTTTCAATTTTTTTATCTTTTTCATCATTATTATATAAAGTTATGATAATATCATCAGTAGAGTTTGCAATTACAGAATTAAACAAGTTTAAATATGGCTTATATTTTTCTGCTAGTGCAACTAATGCATACCTTTTATCTATTCTAATCCTACACTTTAAAGAAATGCACTTGTATGAATTTGATTTTATTATAAAATCTTGTTAAGCAAATAGTTTACATTTTCCATTATTAACTATAGCATGATGTTCTAAATCTATATTAATTGTTAAAAAAATACTTATTTTTTGTTCTATGTAATTTTGAGTATATCCCATTTTGTTTATTGGCATTTTTTATAAAGAAAACATTTTAGCTTAAATTAAAAAATTATATAAATAATTTTCTTTATAAATAAAAATGGATATCATTTATTTATCATGGAATGTGAATAAAAGTAAACGTAATAATAATAAGTTATTACCTAAAAGTATAAGAGGAATTATAGTAGGAAAGTCAGGTTGTGGAAAAACAAGTTTATTATTAAACTTACTTTTAAGACCTGGTTAGTTAGACTATAATAATTTACAAGTTTTTGGAAAATCTCTTTTTCAAACAGAATACAAAATATAAAAAAATTCTTTTGAAAAAAAAGTACCAAAAGAAGTTATTCTTGAACTTTTTAAATTACAAGATAAAATAGAAAAATTGAATGTTAATCCTATGTTTATTATTGAAGACATTTCAAAAAATTTAAAAGAGAAAACAGATATTGAATGCAAGTTTTTTGAAACAGCAGATGATGTCTCAGAACCAGAAAATCTTAACTGTATTAAAAATAATTTAATGATATTTGATGATTTACAATTAACAAAACAAAACAAGTGTGAAAAGTACTAAATAAGAGGAAGACATAGTAATGTAGATTGTTTCTATCTTGCACAAAATTATTTTGAGTTACCTATGAGAACTATAAGAGAAAATGCAAATTTTATATGCTTGTTTCCGCAAGATGCAAAGAATTTAAATCACATGTATAATGATCATGTTTCAAGTGATATGCCTAATAAAGCTGAGTTTAAAATGAAGCTTGGTCTGAACCACATGGATTTGCTGTTATAGATTTATCTTCTAAAAGAGATTATGGAAAATATAGAAGTGGATTAGATAATATTTATATACCAGATTGTGCATTTTCATAAAAATATATACTTTTTTATTAAATATATATTTATCATTTATGGATCACAAAGCAATCTAGCAGAGCATTGATTCCGAAGGTATCTAAAAAAACAAATTTAATAATGGGATATTCTTAAATGGTGAATTTTCACCTAATAATAAACCTTTACCTACTTGTGAATATGTTTTTCCATTTTTTACTTACAATCCATTACCTAAATAACTATCACTATTAACCCACGGATCTCTAAATAATCCGTTTCCTGCAGCTCTAAATTTTATTTCTTTTCCATTTTTTTTCATGTAGACAATACCATTTCCAGCAATTTTATTTACTATAGGGGAGACCGGGGCTAGTTGGCAGCAGGGGTAAGTTGACGAATTGCGTTTATCTGCAAAGTCTTTCATCAAAAAGTGCCAATAATTTCAGGAAACCTTCTTAGTTGACCATTTCATCTTTCACTGTAGTATTGTGGGGATTTGCGCATGCGCATAAAAGATATTGTGATTTATGTGTTTTTTCCACATTTTTGTAACTTTTACAACTTCTTTATTTTTTCGATTTTTAAAAGCAATTTCATCAAGTACAAGTAAACTTGATTGGAGTTATATCTTGCATGGTTCAGTAAAATCTGTCCAACCATTATTTTTTATTTATATACGTTTTTCAGGGATCGGTAGGGGAGTTTGTGACCAAATAGCTGTCGGGGTTAGTTGGCAAAATTTTGGCGGGGCAAGTTGGCCGTATATATCAACTAAACCCGGTTGCGATTGGACATAAATTTTAACTTTTTCTATAAATTTTGATTTATTTTTTTAAAAATCGATTAGATAGATCACATATATTACATGCGAAACTATAAAAGAAAAACAAAGAGGGCTATAACTCCTCAAAATGTTATAAAAAATGCTGTTGATGCTGTTTTATTAGAAGGAAAATCTATACGAAAAACAGCCAAAGACTTTAATATCCCTGAAAAAAGTTTGTCCCGATACTGCAAAAAGCAACAACGTCATAGTCAGCAAATATCAGGTTACATAAAATCTAGACAGGTCAGTATATATATATATATATATATATATATATATATATATATATATATATATATATATATATATATATATATATATATATATATATATATATATATATATATATATATATATATATATATATATATATATATATATATATATATATATATATATATATTTACAAATAGAGTTCTCAATGATCTTAAAAAACATATAAGTTATATTTTATAACTGTGTATTAGTATGTGTTATAACACATACTAATACAATGTGTGTGTGTGTGTATAACACATACTAATATATATTAGTATGTGTTATGCACACACACACACATATATATATGTGTGTTATATAACACACACACACACACACACACACACACACACACACACACACATATATATATATATATATAGTGTTATTTGTTTTAATATTGATATTGTTCATTTAGGTCTTTACTGATTTACAAGAAGGTCTGTTGGAACAATATGTGACTAAAGCTTCTGATATTTAATATGGACTTTCTCCTAAGGAAGTGAGGAAACTAGCTTATCAGTATGGAAAAGCGAATAGCATAAAAATGCCTCATAATTGGAGTGCAAATGAAGCAGCTGGAGAAGACTGGTTCAGTGCTTACCTCAAAAGGCACAAAAAACTGTCAATAAGAAAACCTGAGGCAACAAGTCAAGCACGTGTTTCCAGTTTTAATCCAACAAATGTTCAAAGTTTTACAACAATTTACAAACTATTCTTAATCGTTTAAAGTTGGAAAATGGAGATATTTGGAATATGGATGAAACTGGTATTACCACAGTTCAAACTCCAGATCATATTGTAGCAAGAAAGGGTTTTAAACAAATTGGGCGTGTTACTTCGGCTGAGAGAGGCAATTTAGTAACTGTGGCAGTTGCTGTTTCTGCCAGTGGAAATTCAATTCCTCCATTTTTCATATTTCCTCGTGTGAAATTTAAAAGCTATTTTTTAAATGGTGCTCCTGATGGAAGTGCAGGCGCTGCAAACCCATCTGGTTGGATGACTGAAGTTCAATTTTTGCAGTTTTCCCATCATTTTGTCAAATATGCCAGAAGTACAAAAGAACGACCTGTTTTGTTGCTATTAGACAATCATGACTCTCATCTTTCAGTAGAGGCTTTAGATTACTTTAAAGAAAATGGGGTATCGGTTTGTTCATTTCCTCCTCAAGGCAGCCATAAACTTCAACCTCTAGATCGAAGTGTATTTGGATCTTTTAAAAAATACACAAACACAGCTTGCGATGCGTGGATGACAATGCACCCTGGTTCCACAATGTCTATTTACAGTTTACCAGGTATTGTGGGTAACTCATTTCCATTAGCATGTACCCCTAATAATATCAAGGCTGGTTTTGCAAAAACAGGAATTTACCCACTGAATATTAAAATTTTTGGTGAACACGATTTTATGCCAGCCTATACCACAGATAGACCACCTCCGAAACAAGACTGTGCTGTGGAAAGTACAGTGCTAAATATAAGTAATGTAACGGATGTTGACTTTACAATATCTGAGAATGACATGTTAAATGCTGGTTGCTCAAAAGATATAAAACCACGTCAAGATATTTCATATTCAAGCAGTAATGATGAACACAGTGCATCTACAGAGTCAACTGTAGTTCTATTGCCTGAAGATTTAAGACCATTCAAAAAAGCTGAACCAAGAAAAAGAGTTAGGGCTAATAAAAGAAGTAGAACCACATCAATTTTAACAGATTCACCAAATATGAATGTTTTAAAAATAGAGAAAGAATCAGCTAAAAAGAAAAAGTTAGCAATTGAAGAAAGAAAACAAGCAAAAAAGTTAAACGAAGATAATATTAAGATGAGTAAAAGATCAAATAGTAAAGGAAGTTTACACTTAATGGAGAAAAGTTTGAATTGTCCAAATAGCTCTGTTGTAGAGGAGTGTTTTTGTTTGGTTTGTGTTGGAATGTTTTCTAAAAGTAAAGCAGGGGAAGTTTGGGTTCAATGTACCCAATGTCACCTTTGGGCTCACGAGTCATGTATAATCGGAAAATCTTTGTTTTTCATTTGCAATAATTGCTGCTAGCCGATTTGAAACTCCATTAGTTAAAAATATTCATGTAATAAAACAATATAAGTTTTAATTCTTATTGTATAACAATAAATTGGGAACACTGTTTTGTTTTGTCACTGTATTTTTTAATTATATTTACTTTCTATTGCTTAAAATGTTACAATGACTTGATCCAAAAGTTTGATGATATTGATAAAAGTATATTTCTGCTATGATTCCTTTAAAAAAAAGGGGCTCGGGGTAAAAATATTATTGAAATACACTTAAATAGGACCTTTAACTTTAGCTTTTATTATTGCGAGTCAACTTACCCCTTGAGTATAAGCAACTTACCCCATGGTGGGGTAAGTTGGCGCAATTTTTTTTTTTTTTCGAGGGCCCAGAAAGGCCCCACAATATTTTTTTTGTAAATGAATACAACTTTTATAAGTTACCCAAATTCATACTCTTTGAAACTACACTTTTATGTTTTCAAAAAAATGTTTCGTTAGGACTACAGAACTCATAGAGTAAAAACCGAGTCAACTAGCCCCGGTCTCCCCTAGTGCTTCCAGCTGCGGCAGCTGTTGCGGTCAGTAATCCTGCTGCAACTGCTGGAATTACTTTTGAAGCTAAAAAACTTCCAACTAATCCTAGCAAAGGTAAAAACCCTCCATTTACTTTAGCGTTATGTTTAAGTTGTGCTCTACTTAGTGTAAGTTTTATACCAGTACCTTTTAGATATGCTGCTTCCATTCTATTTCTTTGCGACTCTGTTAAATCTATTCTATATTTACCATTTAGATCTTGATGTGTTAGTTTTATGCTAGCATTAGTATCACATTCAATTGATTTTTTAATTTTTTCTTTCTGACCTTCTGAAATATTTATATGAGTTTCGTAATAATTTGTCATTTTTTAAATATACAATAATTTTTTAATTCATTAAATGAATCTGGCCTAAGAATTAATACTATTCGATCTAGTAAAAATTTTTTTTAAAAAAGTTAGTATTTCACTTAATAGATATTCATTTCTTTTTAAAAGTCTTACAGTGTCACCAGGTTCAACACGTTCTCTAATATGGTACTTAATAGTTAATTTTTACCCTAGATTTTCAAGGAGACGTCCATCCTGATCTACTAATGTAGTTGTTATATGTACAAATGATTTTGATGTCATTTCTGAATAACTTGGATAATCTACTTTTTCTGTAATTTTAAATCCAACACCTACTTTCGGAAAAAATGAATGTACAACATTTATAACTTTATTATTTACACGTACAGCTTTTACAAGATTATTTGTGATATGTATAGTATTAATATGCGTTAAATTAGTTATTTTTTCGAATATATTACTACCTCCATAATATATTTTACTCTCAAAATCTAAAAGTTCTCTAATTGAATTTGAAACTCTAAAATCAACTTGAAACCTTGGTGAAAGAGTCATGTTTGTACTCATTGTAGCAACTTCTGCTGTAAATGTAATCGTACCAGATAAATGACTTTCTTTTAGTAAATGATCTTGTAAGTATTTAGTTAAAGATACAAGTCAATATGCTCCTTTTTTAAAAGTGAAATCTACCCAATTACCACCATCATCTGTACTAAATCTAAATTTATTATTCTTTTCATGTATATTTGGAAAATTATTATATTTATCTAATCCCATTACAGCCATTTCATAGTTTTTATCTTCATCTAGTTCAATATTTTGACCAAGCGTAGTATTTATAACAGTACCTGTTCCATGAAAGTTATAATAATTTTATATATGCATATATTTTTTTATATCATTTTTTGATATAAAAAATTTACTTTATTTCTCTGAAGTGAAATTGTGTTATTAATCTTTCCTTACTCATATCTATAGCATGACGATCATCATCCATTATTTCAACTGTCATTTTTGACAATGTGTTTGTTTTTAATGGAAAATAACTTTTAAAATTAGGTACTTTAACAAGGATCATACCTGAAGGACGAGTCATTGGTAAGAATGTATGCATTACAGTAGTTTTCTTACCATTTATATTTTTTCCATCTACAATATTATTTAATATATGCAAACACTTTTTGAGATGAAACGCTGTAGTGAATAGTTTCTAATCTTATAAATGCCATTTATTATTTTTTTGTTTTATCAAGTTCAATAATAGGATCAAATTGAATTGCTGTGATATTTGATTTATTGTTATGTACTTTAATATCCATTCTTTATATTTATAATAAGTATTATTTAATTTATTTTACATAAATCTGTATCCCTTCAGGATCTAGATCACTTTGTGATAAATGCTTAGCTAAGTTATCATTTTATAATTTACTTTTTTTCAGATCCAGAAGAATTCCTTGCTTGCTTCGCTATAAACAGATGCATCTTTTAATTTTACTTGTATAGATTGAATCGTCGAGCCTATATAAACACCTTCACATCTTAAACACCCTTTAATATGACATCTTTTTTTAATAAGATCATGTCCTGAAATTTCTACATCATCTTCAGTTCTGAATATATTATCCATATTTAAATCTTCTGTTGGTATTTTTGCAAATATAACAGGAGGTTTATCTTCATTATATTTTAAACTTTTTAAGTTGTCCGTATTTATTTTTTTTAGTTTGTCTTTGACTTTATCTCTACAAAATTTCTCAATAGATTGAATCATTGCAATAAATTTTTCTTCTTCTTCAGTCTTTCCTATCATTCCATTAAAACATACAAGTGGAATTGAATATCCAGTCAGTTTCTTTGTTTTTGGATCTCTATTTTCACATACTCCATATGGAAATAATTTAGGCTTTTCTACTGAAAAAAATGGTATTACTTTATAACTAATTCTCGTTTTTTGATAATGAACAGGTTTATAAAAATTAATGATTTCACTAGCACGCAATTTTTTTTCATCGAGTTTTTCAATATTCACATTTGACATTTTTTTATATATGCAAGAAAATTATTTATATTATTTTCAAAAAAATTTATTATTTTTTTTTTCAAAATAAAATAATAAAAAGAATAGTTAAATCTGTGTACTCTCATCATTTTCATCATCGCCATATTCAGTAGTTTCTGTAATTTCTATAATTTCTGTAGTTTTTTTAGTTTCTGTAATTTCTATAGTTTCATCATCTTCATCTTCATCATCGCCATATTCAGTAGTTTCTGTAGTTTCTGTAGTTTCTGTAGTTTCTGTAGTTTCTGTAATTTTTGTAATTTCAGTAACTTCATCTTCATCATCTTCATCTTCAGCAACTACAGCATCATGAGTATCTTCAGTATCTTCAGTATCTTCTAATCTTTCTAATCTTTTTTCTATTAATTTTAATTTTAAGCATAATTCTTCAAGCTTCTTCGCTATTTCGTTTTCCATTCTTTTTGTTATGTTTATATTATTAGATATATTACAAGATATGTTATTAGATCCTGAAGGGATCCAGATTAGCAAAGCTAATTGAAATAAATTAAAATAAATGTTTATATATAAAAATGAACTGCGTTAAATGTAGAAACAAAACAGATACACTTAACTTACAGCATTACGTAAGTAAAAACAATAGAAATATGCTTCGTGGTGAATGTGCTATATGTAGAACAACAAAATACCAATTTACAAAAGGAACTAGCGGAGTTATTTAAATAATCTATTAGATATATTATTAGATATATTATTAGATCCTGAAGGGATCGAGATAATTGAAATAAATTAAAAAAATAGCTACTAAATATAAATGTATCATTATAAATAATAAAAGATATATTAAGAAACATGTTATTGGTGAAAGTGGAACATTTAGTTCTATAGAAAACTTGTTACGTGGAAATTGGACCTGGTACTAGATTAGATTTAAGATTAAATTCTGATGATTCACCTAAAGAATGGAGAATGCCTGTATATAGAGTTGAAAAAGCAGCTTATATTCATGATATTGCTTATAAATATAATCAAGATACTCCTACTAGAAATATATCTGATGAAATAATGCTTAAACAAATGGATGCTATACCTAATCCTACACCACGTAAAAAACTAGAAAGAAAGATTTTAAAACCTATCATATCTGCTAAAGTAAGGTTTGGTATGGGAAATAAAGAACCAATGAGTATTAAAGAATTATGCCAAAAAAACTACCAGCGCACAGGAAAAAAGCAAAAGACGTGAAATGGACTGATGAACTTGCAAATGAACTTCATAAACCTGTTATAAAACATTTTAGAAAAAGAAAAGTGATTGCAAATGGAATTGATGATATATGGGCTGCTGATTTAGTTGACATGCAAGCTTTTTCCAAGTTCAATTACGGTATAAAATACTTATTGATGGTGATAGATATATTTTCAAAGTATGGATGGATTGTTACATTGAAAAATAAGACAGGAATTGAAGTTGCTAATGCATTCAATGAAATATTTAAAGATAGAAAGTGTGTAAAATTATGGGTAGATAAAGGCTTGGAATTTTATAACAAACACGTTAAAGCATTAGGAGTGCAGCTCTATTCAACTGAAAATGAAGAAAAAAACTGTGTAGTTGAACGTTGGAATAGAACAATTAAAGAAAAAATGTTCAAATACTTTTCTGCTAACTCTACTAGAAAATACATTGATGTTTTAGATGAAATGGTGAATCAATACAACAACACAAAGCATTCTTCAATTAAAATGACTCCAGTTGAAGCAAGCAATAAAAAGAATGAAAATATAGTATTTCTAAATCTAAATGGTAAAGTAATATCAAACCCTATCAAGCCCAAGTTTTCAATAGATGATAAAGTGAGAATAACTAAAAAGAAAGGAGCGTTTGAAAAAGGATACACGCCAAGATGGACTGAAGAAGTCTTTACTATATCACAAGTTCAATACACAGATCCACCTACCTACTTATAATATAACTGATTATAATAATGAAGAAATACAAGGTACTTTTTATGAACAAGAACTTCAAAAAACAAATCAAGAGATATTTAGAATTGAAAAAGTTATTCGTAAACAAGGTAATAAATCATTTGTAAAGTGGTATGGTTATC